TTTTTTTTTTTTTTTTATGGCAGTATGTTGAGCTCTCAACATTTGTTTGAATAATGTTCTTACGGCAGCTGCCTTAGAACCATTTTCTTTATATATTGTTGGAACTCTCCCATTCCATAATGCAGTACGGTGGAAAAGAATTGGCTGGAATGGAAGTAAACCGGGTCAAGAGTCAGAGATGCTGGGGAAATGAGGCTGTTTGGTGTACAAATTAGGGTTATTAAGTCTTGCTTTTCAGGGTAATGCAACTACATGGTATTTCAGGGACCAGTAAATCCCATATGGTTCCTACCTAGCTTTCCAGTATAGTTGTGTGGGTGGGATAAAACATAGGAAATCTGTTCTTTGATTTGTGTAAGAAATAGGGTTAGATCAGATGAGGAATTTAGGGCTGGAGAAGAGAATATTTATCTAAAATAAATTTTTAATAAATTTTTCAGAAGTGAACCTCTTTCCTGGAAAACACTAATTTTAAGAAAACCTTCTCAGCTCCAGAATGGATTAACTCTGGAGGAGGTGAAAGAAATAAAAAGGGAGGGAAGATGAATGCTCATGTCAGAGGCATGATAGTAAAGATACTTGTGGGGGTTAGGTTCATGTTTCTCTACTTGGCTGATTAAAATGTCAGTATCATATCCTCAGTGGGAACTTCACACGCTGGCTGATGGACCGTATAAGAAAGGGACTTCCCTTTCCTCTGTACATGGGCTAAAAGATGGTTCCATTTCTTAGGAGAGGGGCTTTTATTGTTGGTTGGTTTTTATTTTTATTTGAGGAATTTTGTTGTTCTGTTACAGTTTTCATTACAAATCTTAATCTTGAATAGCTCTTTTTAAAATTCAGCTGTAGAAATTTTAGTTTGACATCTGTAGTGTTTATAGTTAAAATTATATAGTCTTCCACAGATGTTTTTCTAGTTCCTAAATAGATAATGTGCTTTTCATTTCAACAATTAGAATTATAAGACTGAAATACCAGCTCAAAGAGTAACTTTCTGAGTTCCTTTGAATAGGTTGCTTAGTTTGTTTTCCAGAGAGGAATGAATATTAAATGTTCAAGTTTCTTTGCATTTCCAAGTGCAAGAAGGATTTCAGTGCCAGAGACAAAAATATGCCATTCACACTGGGATGGTTCTCAACCTCTCAAGTTCCCTAGAATGTGAAGTACATGTAGTCCATGAATGGGCACTTCTATGGCTTCAGAAATGAATGTTCACTGAGCATCCTGCTATTCTCATTAGCACAAATATCACTCCTTTCAGGACTGTGTAGCCTCCCAAAGTGAAAGGTCATGGAAGACACTGAAAAATAAAGACATTAACTTACTGCATTAAAGTATATGATTTTTAAGAAGTTGAGATGTACAGTAAAATTTATTCCATTATTTAAATGTTCACCGTGATGTTATACTAGAGCATGGCCGTGTCATGTCAGATTTTTCTAGCAAAACTGGTATGTGTTTAGGCATGCCTTTTTCTTAATAAACTGAGCCTTTTGGCACCAAAAGGGTTCATTTGGCATGGGAGACTAAGACTAAGTGAAGTACTCTTCAACTTTTTCATTTGCACCAGGGGAAAAAGCAGGGTGACTGTGTCCCTGAATGATGTGGTAAATGCCTGAAGCCACTGGGGAGGAGCTGGGCTGAGGAAGATGCCAGAGACTAGAAACCATGCTAATTCCTAACACAGCTGTCTCAGGCTTTCGCTCCAGTTGCAGTGGTAGTCACTAGTCTATCTGCTGCTATTTCTTAGCAGTTAATATTGAAAATAAAGCAGGGATGCAGAACTAGCAACTTCTGGAAAATATTCAGAGCCTGTCAGTTCTTTGGACACAGTCACGTGCAGCATGGTAGAAGGAGAACAAAACAAGTAGCTTGGGTTAGCTGTACTGACTAAATATATACCATTTTTTTAGCTGTAAGCTAGGCAGGGTCTTCATCATCGAGGTCAGGGTGTCAGAAACACTTCTTTATAGCCTTTAAAAAAAATTTACTCATCCTGGAGTACACAGCCTTTGTTTTAGAATGCCAGATCCAGTTTTTCAAATTAATCGAACAAAATGTTACTATTGTTCATGCCTTGAGAGGCTACCTGGAACAGAGGCTAGAGAGTGTTAAAGGAATAAAGTAGGTATTTATTAAAGGGCTTCAAGGGATACACCTTAGGCAGTACAAGAGCCTGGCCATGACTCTACCCAAGATGGATGTCAGATCACACATTTTCACCCTTTTGTAAGTTTGAGTCCATTTACATATTGGGGTTAATTGTTCAGTTACAACTTCAGGTTGTGAAGTCCTATCCTCCCAGTTTGCTCTCCTCAATTCACTGTTCTTTGTACTTTTTGGGCCTGAAGCTGCAGCGATGTTCTTGGGCTGAAAAAAGGTAGTTTTATCTAAGTACACTCTGAGGAGAACTTGCTTACACTTCATATGAAGTTCAGAGTTACATACTAACGCAGTACAGAATCTGGATAATATGGAAGCTAAAACTTAAGGCATCAACATGGTGGAAGCTCACTGTGCTAGGCAGTATGTGTTTAGGAATGAGTCCAAGGTTTTCTCTTAAGCCTTTTTGTCCCTGCTGTTCATTTCCCTAATAGTTGTCTTAAAACATGTGAAAATAGCAATACTTATCAAGCTTGAGTAATGCTTGAAAACTCCTGTGAGTACAAGTTCAGTTGGCATTCATGTGGTGGTTGAATGTGTTTTCATGTTTGATTCAGTAAGGGCTGAGAGTCTAAATGACATTTGAAGTATTGCCAAGTTTGGCACTTTCAAATGATAGATTATTGTGTGTGTACTCCTCCTTGTGCTCACTTGATAGAGAATGGGTGGGCAAAGACTGAATACTGCTCAGTTATTGTCCTGTCCTCCAGTGAGATATTGTACATGTTTATATGTGTCCTTTACAGATGAAACTGTCACTGCTCTTAATTCAGCTCTCTTTCACTGCACCTCAGCTGGAGTTTTACTGCTTTTTCATCACAGGCACGCAAATAATAAGTATTGTTAGGGATGGCAATTAGTACAGGACAGATAGCAACAGGAAAAGTGACAGTGGCATACCTCAGCTCTCACTGGCAAATTTTAGGGTCTGGTGAACACTGCCCCTTGTGCTAGGCTAGCTTCTGGCAGCCAGGCTATGGATATGTGCTTTATGTGAGCACCGTGTCTGAGGCCCAGCTGAGCGCAACTCCTGTATTACCTCACAGCTTCTAAGAGTGCTTTTCCATGTTCAAAAAGGAAAGGTTGGGACCAGTTATTTTCTCCTGAAAATCTTCTTGTTCTTTTGTCCATTCTGTTTATAAGCTGATAACAAATGTGATTTTTTTATCATCTTCTTTCAGATGCAGTATTCACAAATGGACAGGGAGTTGACTATTTATTTGTTGGAAACATAGTTTATACTGTAAGTTTGTGTATCCTAGCAATTTTTGAATGGTAGAATTTCTTTCCAGCCTTTTTCTCACCACAAGAAAATGGTGTAAACATGAAGAAAGTGCGTGAGTAAAATAAAATAAATCTGATGCTGTGTATGTGATTTTCCCTCTTCCTTTTAAAATTTTTTTCTTAAAATCCAGACATGCACCAACAATAGCTTCTGCTCTGTCCTTCCCCCATCCCCTGCCAAGTTCCTGGGTTGCTGCCTAAATGGTAGTAGCTTTTTAGGTGTAAAGGGGAGATTGGGCATGAAAAGCTTGGAATTTGAGAGTGGTAGTAATGAAGTTGTCTTCTTTCTTTTTTTTCCTTGCAGTATGTTGTAGTCACTGTTTGTCTGAAAGCCGGCTTGGAAACAACTGCATGGACTAGAGTAAGTACTTTCCGGTATCTTTTATTTTATTAGCACAGACCTTCCTCCCTAATGAGCATTAATACAGATAAGAAGTACTAAAAATCATTTGGGACTTCAGAGTTTTAATTGGGTCTTTCATGTAAGGACAGACTGCTAAGCTCCCTAAGTACAGAATATGAGAGGAATGAACTCATAGATCACACGATATCTGTGATGAAAAAGGGCAGCCTGAATTGGGAAGAGTACACTAAAAGTGTACTGTCAAAATCTCTACTTAAAAATGAGGAAAATTTTGCATGAAATCAACATACTACTGTAATTGCTTAAGAAAATGCATCAAGGAAATTATCCTTTGTACTCTGTAGCTCCTTCAAAATTAATGCAATAGGGAATGAAAGGTGTCTGCCCACAGATAAATAACTGGGCTTTGAAAACATCTTTAAACTGAGTAAAAAGAACCAGTGATGACTTCACATTGGTTGAGTTGTTTTGGTTTTTTTGAAACTTAGTGTAATAAGAATGTTAGTTAAATAGTTACATTGGTACCTTGCTTTGAGTTATTTACTTGAAATGGGCAAGTGCTTTGTTACTGGTAGGTGACAGAATCCAGCAGGGCAGTGAGCTCCAGAGAGGGTGAGGGACAGGGAAGGGAGGGCTCCTGTGTTGATGAACCTTCAACACCTTTCTCCCCTCCTTTCCCCTAGCCCCTCTGAAACACTATTTTTTTTTAATTATAATGTAGTCCCTTTTTCTCCACCCCGGTAAGATACTTTATGGGAATCCAGTTTTCATGACGTACAAAAAAACTGTCCTCAAGACTAAGATGTTTTGAGGACACATATTCTTATTCTACCGGTTTCTTGGAGGGTTTGGCTTAGATCTTGTTAACTTCATTGCTTCTGTTAGTTGTAAAATGTTTTATTTCATTCCTCCCAGAGGAATTGTGAAGATCAATGAGCTAACATCTGTTCTGAATTTTAAAGATGATATGCTATCGGTATGGATTATTTAATTGTTAAGAAGATGTTAATATTTTCTACCCCATTCTCTCATCTGAAAATAAAATCTGGGTGTTTTTTACTGTTGCTTATGCATCAGTTCTGTGTTGTGTATCAACATTTTAAAATGCAAAAATCCTTAAATTAATCCCTTGTGCACCAGAAAGGCATATAACCAAGTCCTCATGGAAGGCATGTGAGCTTGTTTAGATCCTGTTTTGTTGTGAATTGTTTGATGGTTTCTCTTCTCTTCCCTGGATAGTAATGGGTGTCTTTTCAGTTACTTGGGGATAGTCATGATCCCCTCATTTGTAAACTTTGTTTTAAAAGATACCATAACTATTAGTGAATATTGGAGTTCTATATGTTCTATATATATGTTCTATAACGCTGGCATTTTACAGAGAAATTATTGTTATTCACACAACAGTTGTGTTTAGAACCAACCTTTTTCTACATATAATTCTAAATTCTGTCCCATTGCTTGGAACAGTGACTCATCATCTCAAAATCTGATGTTGGTTATAGTTTCAGCTGCGAGTGAATCAACACACAAAGAATCTTCAGGTTACTTGAAGAGTGTTAAATTTATGACACTGAGTTAAACCTCTTCTCCATCATCAAGTGGATTGATTACAGACAATTTGTTCTAGAGAGTGAGAGGGACGCTGACAATTGGGAGAACACAGTGGTTTCAGCAGAAAGCTTGAAATAAATAATGCAGTTAAAATGTTTGGGAGCCTGGTATATCCAGTAGGTAGAATGGAAAGGCTGTGATCAGAGTGGTAACATAATGCACAATAAAATCCACACATTGATGTTGAGTGGGGTAGGTTTGTGTTATGTGTGGCCTATCTGGAATACTGCAGTAGGCTTTTTCCCAAACACACACAGCTTTTTTCATCACTGCTTTACCACACTATAGGAACTGTTTCAGTTAAGCAGGGCACATGGGAGAGCCACACACTCTGGCTGGTTTTCATGCAGGAACCTTGATTTCTTGTTTTCTGTCATTCATTTAACACATCTGATGGGCTCACTTTTAGTTTTGCATGTCAAGTCTCTGGGGGTAAATGCAGATGTCAGTGGAGAATCAACAGTGCAAAGGTTGGTGGGGTGGCTGTGTAAGGAACGTTTTCAAGCAGGGCAAGGAGGGCTCTTACAGAACACAGAAGCTCTCTTAAAGGCAGAGAAGCAGTTTGGGCAGATACAAGCCTCAGATAATGAGATGGTTGGGATAACCGTAAGAAGGTAAAGACAATATAAAGTGATCAAAGTCTGCTCAGATGGAAAGGGTGAAGATCTGCAAAACTTGAAAACTGACCTAGCAGCAGAATGGAAAGAAAAACCTGAGTGAGACCAAAAAAAAACCTGATGTCATTTCACTAGCATAAATATACTTCCTAGAAAATAAGGCTACATCTGAGATTGGGTTCTCTGCTTCCTTTTGTTTTTACTGGTTTTAGTCATAAAGTCCAGGAGCTAGGGGAGCACCAATCCAAGCTATCCTGAGCCTTTTGTCTGAGAGGAAGGTTGTGGCTCAAGAGAAGGTATCACATCATTTTCAGAAAGCAGTGATGGTACTGTTCTGTCATTGCATGGGACTGACTTTTCTTAAAGATGAGTTCTTGCAGCAGCCTTGCAGTACTTGATCTTTGGGGAGCTGAGCACTACAGTCGCTCACTAGGGCAGGGCTTCTAGTCAGAATCTTGATGTGAATTGTGCCCAGTTTTCAGAAAAGCAAGTAGCCTGAGAGTATAAAATCCCTCTTGTCCTCCAAGTGTTTAAAAAAAAATCCTTCAGTTTCTTAGTTTCTTTCACATTAAAACTAAATGGAGCATGTATATGTACATGTATATGTATATTTTGGAGGTTTTTTTTGTTTGTTATGTGGGGGTTTGGGGCTGGCCTTTTTTGGTTAATTTGTTTCTTGTTTGTTTGTTTTAAATAAGGAGTTGCTTATTTACTGAGGTCAGATCTCCTGGGTGAAATATAATAAATAGTAAAGTTTGAAAACAAATCTTCCTGCCCACTGTGTCTCTCCAGGAAAGGGCCTATCCCATATTTTGCTTATTAGCCCAGCAAATTTTAGGGTTGAACAAAATTCCTTCTTTCTGAGACTGCCTAGAAGAGCGTTCTTTCCATTGCCTCTGACATTTTGTCATATGAATGCTTCTACTGTAAGGTAGCCTCTCGTTGATCCCAGCGACCTGCCAGTCTGCACTGGTGCTGCAGGCTCCTTGCTTGTTTGTTTTCACTGCCTGTGCTGGAGAAAGCTGTCCTTTCTGAGGATGTCCAGCAGTTGCAGATTAGGAGCAGTCTTCTCCTTCTTCCAGAAAGTTGTATTTATCTCACAGCAAACAGAACACAATACTCAGACACTTTTTTGGTTCTCAGACATAATGTTCAAAAAGTCAACAGACACAGTCATCCACTAGGAAGTATAAAGCCAAAAGCTGAAAAAACATGCTGTGTCCACCAGCACCCAGTATGTGAATTCATTCCCATGTTCCTGAACTCATATGTAATTAGTAATTAAGATTTATGCAGGTACTTCTCTGAATTGGAGCCAAAGTCATCAGCCACAGGAGTTGTTGGCATCCAGAAAAGCTGGAGCCAATAATGAGCTCAGTTGCTCGTTACAACTGAAATTACTGTTCCATCCACTGCAGTGTAAAAGTAAAACAACTTAAATCATCCTGAACAGAAAAACAGTTTGGGTGTGTAGGAAAAATTACTTTCTTTAATGCAACTGAGAAGAAGTTTTAGCTGGATGTGCTCTTGGTCATTTAACAGTACTTTAATTTTTTCTTAGTGAGTCTACAGACTAAAGAACCAGTAAAGATGTAAACTGCATTGCATATCTGTAAATCAATTAGAACACCTTTAAAGCAAAAACAAAAACAAAAAATCACAGTTGATCAGTAGATGTTGATTCTGCTAGTGTATTACACAACACTGAATCTTCCTCCAGGGAAGGTGAGTAATCACTTGTATGTATATATTGCCATAAAAGATTTGTCCATGTGAACTTTAACCTGTGCCTTTGAAAATTTCTGCCTTGATTTATGTGTTGAATCTGGCATGTGCATGACAGGATACAGGAACTAGATGAGAGAAATCATGGTTCCAAGGAAAATCTGACAAGTTTTCGGAGCTCCAAATAAGATAGATTGACTGAGAAGAGTATCTGTCTGCCTTGCTATGAGGCAAAGATTAAAGAGAAGTGCTTTATGCTGTTTGAAGAACCTGTGCTACTGGCCCAAAACCAAGAGCAGTAGACAGGGCTGAGTGAGACCGACAGAGACCTGAACAGGGAAACACTTCTGGGCTGGGTGAATGGAGGAAGTGCCGTGTGTTGACTCTGCTTCTCTCCCTGTTCCTTGGCAGTTCAGTCACCTGGCGGTCTGGGGAAGCATGCTGCTCTGGCTGGTGTTCTTCGGGGTATACTCGGCCATCTGGCCCACGTTCCCCATCGCGCCGGACATGCTGGGGCAGGTCAGTACCAACACCTGGCTCTGGGGACAGCAGCCCAGCCAGCGCTGCTGCCTCCCGCTTCCTCAGCACTCACACAGGGCTAGCAAAGGACTGCTGCTCTAGTGAGAGTGCTTGGACTTCATTTTCACCTTTTCTTAATCCCTGTATTCATTTGGTTTAATCTTCTCGTGAGAAGAGCTCTCTTTCTCCCCCAAACTGACATCATCCATGACTGCATGCACTGTGGATACTAACATATAGACCATTCCCAATTCCCTGTGATGGTAGTGGCTCTTTTGTTAACGTCTAGTCCTGGCAAGCTTTTGTGTGTTTGACAAAATATCGTATTTGGTTTGGGATTTTTTTGCCATGGATTTCCATATGTTTTGTTTCATATTGTTGCTTTTTACCTTCATTCATTTAAATAAGCAGAATTTCCTTGAGAATAGAATGAGATGGTCAGAAATAGGAGAGCTGATACATTATTGATTATGACACTGGAAGAATTCTGGATTTGTTCCTTCCATGTCAGCTGAGCTCCAGGTGGTAAAATTTTTCCTTCAGTGTCTTCGTTTCAGCCCCTGGTGAGAAGATCAAATCGCAAGCCTGTCAAAATCAAGAGCCTTGTGCATATTTAAAATAGGGGGATTGCAATTAACAATTTTAACAATTAAGGATTTAATAATTGTATGATAAAAAGTTATTTTGTAGAGGTGAAATGGCTTTCAAATTTTCCAGAAAAATGTATTGCACTGTAAATTTAGACTTCAATGCAAAGATGTGGTTTATTATACAGAAAGAAGAAAAGCTATCTAATAATTTCAAGAAATTACATGGTTAAATTGCTACCCTTGTGTACTAGAAAATGATAATAAAAAAGTCAAGTGTTGGCAAGCCAATTAGATTTTTAAGATTAATCCCACATTTATATTCAACAAGAACAGTCAAGCATGATTTTGTTGCTGTTCTGGCCTAATGCATATTTTATTATTATGTTCTAAAACACTGAGGATAATGGAGGCTATGATACATTTTCATGGTCAGCTGTTTACAGCCAAGACTGACAGCTGACAGGCTGGGATGAGCAAGTAAGTGACTGACAGACAAAGCCTCAGTCCTCTGATAGTATTTCATGATGACCTTTGCATGTTTCACAGCACATACAGTGTCAGTAGCTCTAATTCACATTTGCATGTATTGGGCAGGAATTTTACTTCAGTATCGTGCAGAGGTGAGAATGGCTTGTCCTCCACAGCAGACTTGAGTGCTGCCATGAACACGTCAGCCTTCTGAAATGTGGGCAATACGGTGAAATGTTGTGTCACACTTAAGGGGCCAATCTATGGGCTTTAGCTTGCTTTTCTTTTTTTCCAAAAGTGACTCTTATTTTGCAGCTTAAGCAAAATTCATGTTGTGTTGGTCATCAATGTTTGCTGCAGCATATAAAACCACAGGTCTTGGAACAAAACCTTCATATTAATAAGGCTTTGGGGTTTTTTGAGTATGTTTTTAGAAAGTGTTTGTATTTAACCTTTGGTTTTATGCTCTGGTTTTCTGACATTATGACTTGAGAAGTGGTACTAATATCTTGCCAAGATGAAAATAATCTATTCTCTCTTTTTTTTTTTTTTTTTTTTTTTTTTTTTTTTTTTTTTTTTTTTTTGTTAATAGAGAACACATTTACCTTGACTGGTAGAGTGTCCAGTCCAGTACTTGTGGAGCTGTGTACCTGGATTACTGATTATCAATCTAAATCATTAAGGATAAGTTACCATTCGAGAGATGATTTTTGAATTCTAGCAGTCAGAAATAAGCTGTTTTATGGCTTTCAGTGTGTGCTAGAGGGGATCAATATCATTCTACCAGTTTTCTTGTATTTTTGAGAGAAGGAGCAGCAGTTCAAAAATGTGGCGTTTTTTTCTTTTTTTTTTCTCTTTTATCCTTTTGTAAAATCAAAGAAAGCTCCCAAGGTAAAGGGAGCTTGTTTACTACTTGCATTAACTCCCACAAAGTCTCTTGAGTAATGGGTTGCTGTCATGAAACCAGCTCATGGTTAAATGAGCTGGGATTGTGTTAGGCTCTAGTCAGAAAAATAGTCGCCTTCTAAAATGAGTTGCTGCTTCCTAGACTTAAGCAATTTCTTTACTCTTGCTGTAATCTTTTGTTCATTTATAAGTAATCAAGGTGTCTTAAAAGCTTTGTTCTGGTTTCAGATCTTGCTAGAGTGATTATCTTCAAATAAACTGAACTCCAGAATATTCTAGATCCTTGTACTTTGCAAATCTAATAGCATTTGAAGGGAACTGATTTTAGATAGAATAGTCATTAGCATTTGTGCCAGCCATGACTTTGTGCCAGGAGGTGCAAAGCATTTTATTCCATTGTTTCACCAAATGTCAGCATGAAGCCTAGCAGACTTTCAAGTTTGTGATGCTTTGTTTCTGCTGGGGTTTGTTAAACTGTTTGCACTAAGTATTTCTTTCTCTTGCCCGTAATATCTTGAGCATTCTCAGAGTAAAATAATACCGTTTTTCCTCCCTGAGGGCAAAGGAAAGTGACTTACTTATTCTCTCTTGTCAGAGTCAACATATTTCTTCTGTTTCCACTACAATATTAATAATGGAATATGTGTGACATATTAAGACAAAGCCATGATTAAAATCTCAGTAGTCCTTAATATAAATTTTCCAATAGTATGACATGTGGTACTTTGGAAACAAGCTCTGTCTGCTTTGGGGGAATCTTTTCAGATGCACAATTTCTCTTTAATAGTATCAGAAATAATAATGTCAGAACAAGAAACTCTCTGGTAGCACTCTTGGCTTTCCTGAATTTTTGTATTTTTTCAAGTGATTTTTTTTTTATATTTACAGAGAACAGTGATACTGAGGAAAGTTGGTGCCTTTGTTTTTGTCTTGCCTTTGGAGCCAAGATGTTTTAATGGGAACTGATTGCTTTTGAATGGTTGCTTCCAGATGACAGTATTTTGTACAATATATGAATCCTTTCCCACCTTTTGGGTAGTTATGACTTACCACCGCAGATTTTTGAAAGCAAGTAGACGTTTGTGTTTTTAAAAAGAGCTACCTAGTTTGATACTCACTAACTGGAAGAAGTAGTACAGGAATGTGCCACTCTGAGGATGTGAGTTCCTATTTAATTATCATGTCCCTGAACTTATGGGGCTAGTAGCTCATAACCCGATGGTATTTTGTTGATGAGCAGATTAGCCACAGTCCTGCCCTCATGCAGTCTTGGGTATTTTGTTTGTTTGCCTGGGGATAGAGATTTGGTGCCCTGAAGGGAGCACTGAGTGCTAACATTTGTGCTTATTTCTTATATGAGTCATACTTATGGTGTAAGAAATGTGCTGCTAATGCTCTGTTCTTGTATTGATTTCTTCATTGCAGTTGAAGCATACTTTAGGTTCATGGGAATAATATTGCACTGTATGGAATTAAAATCTGTGTGCAGGTATTTCTACTCCCACACATGTGTAAATACCAGTACCTGAAGGCATGTGCATGTGTACAAGAGGATGCTTGGAAAGCGATCATGCTTTGAGTGTTGATCTAGACATTATTTAAGATGAAGAAAAACAGGTATCTTCTTTTGCCACCTTGAGCTGAAATTTTTAGTGTTTTAAAGAGGAGTAGGGTTGGCAGGAAGAGGAGGATGTATTCATTCCTATCACCCCTCTAAAGAATCTGCTTGTTGATGATGAAAGAACTACTACTTAGCTGTGGTTTCTTTCTTCCAGTTTATTTACCTTGTGTTGTGTTTTGTGTCTGCCTCATTAGTTGATGTTACCATTGAGGAAATATCTTTAGGCAGATGAGTATCAGTCTCATTGTTTCTGCCTGAAGGAGAGGGGTTTTAATCTAGGTTTGAGAGAGATGTGTGCTGTGGTTATTTTAAAGTTCAGGTTGGTGTTTCTAATTTTTTAGACTTCTGCTTTGTGCTGTATGTGGTTATGTTGCAGAACTGGGGTTTAACAATTGTCTTAATCTTAGGATGTCATTAGAAGGCCCATGTCATTCAAAACCTCAAGGCTGGAGGTTTTGAAACTGGGGCTGCTGCACTTCCCAAATACCTTTATACAGCTGCATTTGAGAGAAGACTTCTTGAATCACAGTCCAAATAATTTTACAACCAGCATAGCTGAAGCAGCTCCATGTAAGAGCCACTTTCATAGCTGTAATTGCAGGCATGCTTTTATTTCCTAGTGTTCTGCACATCCTTGACAGAAGATACTTGTTTATTTTCCAGTTAAACTGTCAGATTCTTGCTTATTTGTCTGCTTGTGAAGACTTTTAAAGAAGCTGTGCATGAGCTTTACCTGGATTAAAGGTGCTTTTTAAAAGATCCCAATTATTAAGATCTCTGGTTGATCTCCTGTAATGTGACAGTAGTAGGACTTGCTTGTTTTAATGGTTTGTTAAAAAGACATCTATGCCTCTTTTAGCAAAGCTTCCTACTTGTCTGTGTGTATGGAATAAGCAAGATGGGCTTGCCTTGACTATTGCACTGCTTTTGAGGGAGGGGGGTGATGTAGATAAAAGGGTGTGGTGGACTTGGGTTGCACAGTTGGTTTTGTAGTTAGCCTTCAATCTGAAACTCTCTTAAATCTTGCTGATTGAGCTCTTACCAAAGCACGTGAGAAAACATCTTGATTTTCAAGACTTGGAAACAACACAAAACAACCCCCAAAAATCCTCAAGGCAAAATAATAATCATTGTGGTGTAATAAACAGGTTTCATATTACTACCCTTCCAAATCCACACTGTAAAGCTGACAGCTTAATGTACATTTTTGTGTTTTCCAGAATATTTTTGTCTTACTCTCTATATTTGAATTGTTTTCCACAGGTCTCGGTTGTTGTTCTCTCTGACTTCTCATATTTCTGCAGTTTGGTGCTAGTTAAAAAATTGGCTGTTCTGATTGTGGTTTGTTTGTCTGCAATCAGTTGCACATTACATTGTGGTGTAAGTGTTTTGGTTGGTGAAAATGCTTCATCCAG